TTTTAAACTGTCAACATTTTCAGATTGAACCCGAATTGACTGCAGTTTATTAGGAACACAGATTAATCAGAAAACTCTAAAACATAACTAACAGTTTTGAGAAGGCAGGCAGGATGAGAAGAGGAAACGGGCCTCAGCATACAGTGATGTGGTAATTCTGCTCCACTCATGAAAATTACAGAATACTCAGCTTTCTCAGGTCAACACTTGCCATGTGCTTGATTAAAAATATACCAAGAGACAAGCACATTTGAATGTTAAATATCAAAGTTGCTGTGATTTAGAACATACCTTTTAGATTTAGATATAGCTTGTAGTTTTAGGAATGAAAAGTTAACTGCAATAAAAAGGATAAGTGTAACTAAAGCAAGTTTGGACTGCACTGTATTTAAAAGGTTTACAGCTAGAAAGACAAGTTAACTAGAATACAGACAGTCCTCAGGCTGCAAACAAGTTCTGTTCTCGAGTCCATTCACAAGTCGATTGCATGCACATTGTAACGCAAGGCAAGGCAATATAAAGTGTTAATAAGTACAGCAAATGTTTGTATGTCGGATCTTTAGAATTAAACCTCTGTATGGGATACCCTGTATGTAAACCAGAGATCCCTGTACTGGATTTTTCATATTGCTAGCACCCCTGAAAAGATGTCAGTTCAGAAGGTGACCCATACTTGCTTAATAAAGTCAGAACAGAAAAAGTACATGTATAAAGTATAAAGTTGACACACTTAAAGAGCTGGAGATGTGATGGTTACAAAACTTGCAAGAGCAACGGTAGTCCAAAGTAATGTCTTTGTTTTGGGAATTAGTGTTAAATTAGTTTAAGAACATTCAGCAAATGTGAAAAGGTTGAAAAGCACATTTATTTCATAAAATCAAAAGGAAGATTTGTAAACGAGCAATTGGATTAAATGTCTTTGAAAACTAACCAGAACAGGCTGTGTCATCATGGAACTGGGTGAAGCTTAAAAAGGTTTCCTGGTTTCAATTTGAGTAATTTGCTGAAAAAAGGTTTTAGTTGTAATTTGGACCAGATGAGGTTCAGAGTTCAGTGTAGATAAACTAAGTAAATAACATTACATTAGATCTGCACCTGTAAGCAGAGTAAAAACTAAATTTATTCACTGACCAAGTGGATTGTTGATGTGTTTGAATATTGTCAGAATCTTAAAGATTGAAGCTAGTGGAAGGATCTACAGTAGACAAAAGAATTTAAGTAACTAAATTAGCATGGAAGCACTGAAAAGTACCCAGAGCAAGGGATCCATAGTCAAGAGGTGGTAAATTAAAAACTTTTACATCTGAAAATTGCTGGTTCTGAGGAGAATTTTCCAGAGGACTTTCATGTATTTGGCACCCACACAAGTGAATTATTTTACAGTTGAGGTGATTCATACGAAAATTCTTGGGGATGTAAGTAAACCAGAGTGCACGTTATAAACTGTAGTGTTAATGTAATCACATTTACTTTGTTCTATTCTTTTATAGATAATAACCTTTATTTTGCTTTTAAAAAGTGAATTCTTGTGGCATAGTTCTATATGTTAAAAGGAAGTATACGGATTTCCTGATATAAATGTTAATGGCTTATAGCTGATCATATTATTGTGAAGTACAAGATCTATTTATTAACTGATCCTCACGGATTACAGTATTTAATTACATATAATGCTAGCAGCAATTTAATGGGAGCACACAAATATATGTTTTAAATTTTGACATTTTTGCAATAACTTCTTGCAACTATGTTGTGTAGTTTAATATACAAACAAATAACAATTTAAAGCAATGGTCCATTTCTATTCACTAGTTATACAAATACTGAATTAAATGTGTGAAGACTCAGCATTTCAACTGATAGCATGGTGGATTTGGATATAATTTAAAGTGGTAAAACAAAAAACTTTCAATTTTTGAAGAGTAGGGAAATACTAGAACTATTATGATCTATGAACAACGGTCAGTCACTGACCATTTTCTACTAATTTCCAAACTCATTAGCAATTTCCAGTAACAAGTGATTTTTACAGCCTCTCTCCATGCTTTTCACTGGAATCAAATTACAATAAACTCAAACTGCAGTATCATTTTCCTGTTATTTCACACAAGGACTTACAGAAAGCCACAACTTATTTTCTTTCTGCACCTTCCTCTCCCACCCTAAAATGTTCAGGCAACACCTGAAAAATGAAATAGAAATTTTAAAAGTTCTAACTGATTTCAGTAAAGGGACACTTATTGATAACCTAGGAAAAGAAACTAATTTATATTTATGTCATATCACATTTTTGCATTACAAACAATGGGTTTCTTTCGAATGCCTTCAAAGTGGTGATCATCAGGTACATCTCCAACTTCACTTTAAAATACACAAGACTGTACATTGATTCAGCCTGTTTAGAAGACAGTAAAGTTTAAAAAAAGACAAGGTCATTTGGCTGCATCAATGTTCAGTTGATCAACTCTTTGGGGCTCATGATGCAGTGGTAATGTCTCTACCTCAGGGCCAAAAGGTCCAGATTCAAGTCCTACGTGCCCCAAAGTTTTGTCATAACATGTTTGTATAGGTTGATTAAAAATGATTAGAAGGAAGAAAATTAAGCTGTTAAAAAGGTTAAACAAGACATTTAAGTGTGCACATTCAACTATACCACCTGCATTCTCATTCATGAACTGTACGACAAATTGACCACACAATTAACAGGGATGAAAATAATCTTGTGAAATTGTGTAGCTTCTAAACCTCCAGACTAGCTAAAACAACATATACCAGTTTTAGGAAATTGACAAAACTATGAAAGAATTTACAAAGAAAAAGTAGCATTTTTAGGCCAAAATTTAACTTAACAAATCTGGTATATCAAGCGAAAACCTACAATTCGTATTAAAACACTCGTTTACTGGGTACTACGACAAATGTTTGGGACAGCTACTCTTACAGTAAATGGGTTAAATACTGATGAATTCCATTAACAACAGTTCAGATGACAAGTCACAATCTGAACCCTATTTTGCTCTTAACAAATGCGGTGTAACCTGCTGAATATTTTCAGTCTTTTGTTTCTACTTCATGTTTCCACTATCTGCAGTAGTATGAATTGTCAAAATGGGGATGTACATGCAATAATTTGTTTGCATTCCACACTGTCAGTTAATATGATCCATGATTAAGTAGTATTCTTTAAATACTTGCAATTAGGCAAAATGCTGTGCTGCATATCTTTTTTAAAAAAAATGACAGTTTTACGCTGCTGGCAGAGGTAGAGGAATAAGTGGAGCAGATGGTGAGACAGCAAAAGGCAGTGTGTGTTAATTTAGGGGAGGAGGGACGTAGATGCAGAATAGGTGTTAACAGCAGAAAGTACTTCAACTCTACTAAGAGAAAACTTATGCATAAAAAGATAGGGTATATGGGTATGTGTGCGTGCATGTGTTTGTGTACAAACAAATAGATTATAGGGTTGATAGGGCACTCAGGATTTAAATTCAACAACTTCAGGCCATGTTCTCTAATTTAGATTCGTACCCATGCCACATTGTCTTGTTTGCATGGCTTGCTCTGGGTACGGAGGACCTATATTCTGCTCTTAACATAGCAGATATGAGATACAGGTGAGGAGCCTATCATTAGGTCAGAAATCACACAACACCAGGTTGTAGTCCTACAGGTGTATTTGAAAACACAAACTTTCGGAGTCTTACTCCTTCTTCAGGTGTTTTGTGGGGGGGGGGTGGGGGTGGGGGGAGTATAAGACACAAAAATTTATAATTAAAAGATCAAAGGTTTTAATGGATTAATATGTATTTATAAATTCCCAAATTCCTTTTAAGTCACAGTCCTGAGAAAACTAAAGGTTTTATCAGTTTCAAGAAGAGGTGACATTTTAAGTCAGACAACGCATGTTAGATGTGAGACCTCATTTAGGATCTGTGTGTTTTGGTTTGGAGTCAGTCTGGTTTTATTTCTAAAGCAGGAATTTATAAAAAGCTACATTGACTGGAGTCTATAAATTGTGTCAGAGATAGTAGGAACTGCAGATGCTGGAGAATCCGAGACAACAAGGTGCAGGGCTGGATGAACACAGCAGGCCAAGCAGCATCATAGGAGCAGAGAGGCTGACGTTTCGGGCCTAGACCCTTCATCAGAAAAGCGGGAGGGGAAGGGGGTTCTGAAATAAATAGGGAGAGAGTGGGAGGCGGATAGAAGAGGGATAGAGGAGAGGATAGGTGGAGAGGAAACAAACAGGTCGAAGAGGTGGGGATGGGGCAGGAAAGGTGAGTGTAGGTAGGGAGTTAGGAAGGGGATAGGTCAGTCCAGAGAGGACGGACAGGTCAAGGGGGCGGGATGAGGTTGGTCGGTAGGAGATGGAGGTGCGGCTTGAGGTGGGAGGAGGGGATAGGTGGGAGGAAGAACAGGTTAGGGAGGCAGGGACAAGCTGGACTGGTTTTGGGATGTGGTGGGGGGAGGGGAGATTTTGAAACTTGTGAAATCCACATTGATACCATTGGGCTGCAGGGTTCCCAAGCGGAATATGAGTTGCTGTTCCTGCAACCTTCGGGTGGCATCGTTGTGGCACTGCAGGAGGCCCAGGATGGACATGTCGTCTGAGGAATGGGAGGGGGAGTTGAAATGGTTCGCGACTGGGAGGTGCAGTTGTTTGTTGCGAACTGAGCGTAGGTGTTCTGCAAAGCGGTCCCTGAGTCTCCGCTTGGTTTCCCCGATGTAGAGGAAGCCACGCCGGGTACAGCGGATGCAGTATACCACATTGGCAGATGTGCAGGTCTATAAATTGTGTGCTTCTTCTAAAAACCTGTTTTTGTTCAAAACCTTCCAACTGATTAAAGATTTAACAGCATCTTGGGTTTCTTTAATACGTCCTCATCAGTGGTATGACCCTTTGATCTTTTACTTAGAAATTTTTGTGTCTGATACTACCCATCTCTCTAACACTTGAAGGAGTAAGACTCTGAAAGCTTGTTTTCAAATAAACCTGTTGGACTATAACCTGGTGCTGTGCGATTTCTGACCTTGTCCACCCTAGTCCAACGCCGGCACCTCTACGTCATACTATCATCATTAGCACTTCCTTTGCCTTTTGCTCTGGAGCATCTTCACCATCCATTCCACTTGCTCCTCTTCCTCCCCTCCACGCGAACAGCATTAAATGCACCACTTTTCTAGACAACAGTTTTGAAGAGCCCATATTGAACTCTAAACATCAACTGATTCTCTCCACAAATGCTGCCAGAACTGTTGAGTTTCTGCAGCACTGTACTGTTATTGTAGATTCCCCACCATCCGCAGCATTTTGCTTCTACTTTCTCAGTTATTCTACTCAACGTATCTGGCCCAACTGTAAGATGCAACAAAAAAAAAAATCCAGCAAGATGAAGCAAAATGTCTCCAGGATTCAAATTTTGATTAACTCTAGGATGAAATCTCCATTTTAAATTATTTTAACGTTAATCCCAAACACCTGCTTTCACCATTATACCAACAGCACAGGAATCATCATGCTCCATAAAATTTGACTATGCTGAAATATGTATTCATACAACTTACAATTCTAAAATCTGTCTGAAGATTCAATCTTTTGATAGGCAGCTTTCGTTTAGTATTGTTTACATCTCCTTTAACTGCATACTACTGATATTGTCAAAGATTTTTGAAGTCTAAACAAAGATGGAGCACTTACAGAATTAGTAGAGTCCTCAGTGGCCTTGCTCATATACTATATTTATACAAGATCAACTTCTGAGCTATTTAGATATTTGCACTATGTTCTAAACCTTCTTTTTGAAGATAGCAGGTACCTTTACTACTGAACTACCTTCTCATTCTTAAATGGTGCTCGAGTTTTGATTATGTAATTTTGATCTAATATGTCTACATATTACATAGAAGCATGCATGGAGATTAACTTATTTTGTCCTCAAAACATATACATCCCAAATTGGGTATAATTAGCTACAATCTAGTAAATCGAGCAAATGGATTAACATCTTGCAAGACAAAGATAAACCAGCACAAAAAGCAAAGCAAAACTTGACTGTTTAAGTCGTAGAATGCTTACAAATCCTATTGCACTTTTCTCAACAGTTGATTGACCACACACACTGTTTGCAACTTCTGCTTAAGTTGTCTATAGAATTCTTAAAAATCGTTTAACATCTGCCTAGTGCACTAAACTTAATACTTCAGATTCAAAACATGCAAACATCTCAACTGTGGATCTGTTCTAAAAATAAAGTCAACAGGATAAGGATACAAGCAGTCAGTACAGTAGATAATTGTATTCAACATTCACAGCAATAGTAATTTGCCAATACACAATAGACATTTGACCCAAATGATAATTTAATGCGCACTGCAAAACATCGACATGCCACCATCTGGAATGATGTCAGCATGGTATCAATTAAGAACATAGATTTAATAAGTTTCAAATAAAAAACACAACATTGCAGAAAATTTAGAAAGCCAATAGCAATAAATGCTACACAAATTGAGTTAATTTTCAAAGTGTTGTATGTGGTGCGATCAAAACTAGTGATACCATGCTGGACTATTACCAGATTCTACCCGTAATATATTTTGGGACAGAAGTGAGTCAGCAAATCAAGGGTGTTTATATGAAGACCCGGACTATAAATCCTTGCAATTCTGTCACCTAGCATCAGCATTAACTACTCTCGTCTCGGCTATTGTACAGATTTGATGCAGAGCTCTGCTTCAACATTTCTTTTAAATCAACAGTGTCCCTTAACTGACTGCAGAAATATTACAAAACCATACATTTCTCTATCTTCCACACAAAGGGAAATTGACAATTTGTGGTCAATGCACAGTCAAAATGATGTAAATTTAATGTCAAATCTTTAAGGATGCGAGATTTTCCATTTTCACTCATCTGAGATACCTTCAGACCCAGGTCAGAGAACTGAATGTGTTCCAATCTCCTATGTGACTTAGTTACTACCGAGATTCTTGAATGCAGATGAATGAATTGGCCTGATCGATATCATTCAGTGTTTTAGTCCAACTTAGGAGGAGCAAAATACCTGGATCCATAAAACCTTTCCCCACAAAGGTAGCTAATTTACTAAATTGAGAACGTCATTAAAAAGTCATTTACAACCCTAAAGCTGAAACAGAATATCAAGGCAAAAATTGCAAGAAAATCAAAGTAAATAAATGTAGCTACTATAGCTTTTAATGGTTACAACGTTTTAGCTTCAAGATTGGTGATGCTTGGAAGCCTACTTGTACAATATCTCAGTAAACAGGAAGTTGAACAGTTGTGGAAGAAAAATAACGAAGCATATAAATCTTAAATGCTACTGAATAGCCATAAATAGAACATCTTTATACAGTTGGTAGTACAGGTGAATAGACTGATAATTGGGTCGTACCATCACAACCACAGAATTATGACCATTGTTCTACAGCTAATTTACTTAACTAAATTAGGAGTCAGTTCAGTGAAAACGGATTTGTAAAGAAAGGACTTACCTTCATAAGATCTATTGCTAATGACGTTTAGCAAATTCTATACCATAGAATATGTAAAAATGCTTAATTTATACACATTTCTAGTCCTCATTTATGATTGTACTGCAATCATTCACAATAACCTTCAGTGTATGGAAATTTCATGTGGGCTGTATTTCTACAAACCTAGCACACTAAAAAAACTTTATCCTTTTTAATTTAGATAGCTTATCTGCTCTGATTTTGATTGTATCACAAATTTGCACATGACTGAAGGCACAAGTAAGCATCAACTGCACAGTGCCCATGTGCAATACATTCTCCATGATGCAAACAGGTTAAGAGTAGCACCTTTTAATTTCAAGGAGGGCTGTACTGCAGCATTACTGTGGATTATAAACCATTACATCACAAAATTAGAAGAGATTGATCTCAAGCTTGACATAAATAGATATGCATGAGTACTGAAACATACTACACATGCCCTTTTAGAAGGCAGGCAGTTTTTTTTTAAAAATGTAAACTGATTACACAGTTTTATGAATCTGCCTTTTGAAACACTTCCCTCCTTTATCCTCCCTGCAACTTGCATCAATAAATAAATGTATAACTTCCTAACATCAGTTTACTTGCAACTTTATCAGGAGCTAAAGGATAATATTACCTGCAAAATACAAACTTTCTTTGTAGGAGAGAGAGATAATGTAACAGGCAGGGTATAACTAAGCTATAACAAAATGACATTGATTGTCACTGAATGAATTTACACATTTACAATAGTCATGGTGAAATGCTTGGATAGCTTCATGATTGTCTCATGCAAAGTTTAAAACGCAAGGGATGAAGGACTTCAACAGTAAAATGAGGGCTAAGTTGCAGGTGATTTGTCAGCTCTGCTAGTTAGAGGTAATTATTTTCCAAATATCTCCAGGTCTTTTCTGCATGTTATTGAAACTGTTGCTAATGCCTTGCAGTGCATTTAGTTTTATAGTACACAGTAATGCAGCTTGGCAAATACACAAAATAGATAACTTCAACCGATGTTATAAAATTACATCATGTGCTGTTGATAATAGGTCACAGTGCAAAAAGCTGTCATAATACTACAGAATAACCTGTGTGGGAGTACCATAGTCATAACACAGGTACATCCACAAATCTGAAAAATCCCCAGTAATGCCATTAATATTATCAAAAGTTCTATACCTTTCTGATGAAGCAGAGGATTTACTGCCTTGAACCCAGTACTGCAGGCATATCCACTGTTTACATCATTATAAAAGTAACTGCAGTACAGCTATTCTACCCATGTCGTAATAATTGCTGATATTTATAGTTAAAGATTATGTTTAGCAGCCAAGTGAAATGATTGCAAGTTTGCCATTTTGTTTAGATAAGTAACAGGCACTGCACTGGTCTGCCTTTGTGCATAACAAAACTTTATAGAATGGTTGTCCCCAGTTTATACAGGGAGAGTACAGCAGCATCCAAATTTGATTCTTCAAAAGTGCAAAAAAAATTATAGGCTATTGAACATTTGTCACAGTTATTTTACCTGTCAGATCCTGTAACTACGTTTTTTTCTGTCCCCTCAAACTACGTCCGATAAAAAGGAATAATTTTACACATTCTTACAATTCAGATTGGACAGTTCTTTCTTGTTTGGAGATAATCCTATGGCACACTGGTCTGTAATTTATTTCTCATGGTTATTCAATAGAAGTATGGAACAACATATCTATAATGCACTTCGTCATGTTGGTTATAACTGGATTAAAGTGCATCAGACAAGCTAAACTATCTAGCATGTTATTGCCTACCTTGGAACCCCATTTTCTTTTCTAATGGGGATGAGAATAGATATTCTCTGGATGTGGTACATATTGTAGATTCAGGACTGAATAGTCTAGAAAGTACTGATCAATTTTTGGTGAACTAAATATCACATATATAGTACATGCAAATGTATATCACACTTTGTGCTGATTTGAATTTTTAGAAGACTTGAATTTTAAATTGCCACAAGTGGCAATTAGAAAGGCTTCGATAGTTTAAAAGCTTTTTAAAAAGCTGGATTTTTTCAAAGATAGAATGGGTCTGCAGCTCATTACTGTTATTCAAATGAACTAAGTTGCTCAACTTTACTCACAGCAGGTAAGCTGTGATTGTTCATTGAGAATAGGTGCCCATATCTTTTGCCATAAACAGTTGAGATTCCAGTCTATTCCTGTTTGTACTCAAAAAGATAAAGCAACTGTATGTTATATTAAAAGTGCTTCTCGCTTGTATAATTTAAAAAATTCTGAAAGCTTGGTTGGAGAGTTTTGTTTTAAAGTATAATATGAAGCACAGCAAGCTCCAGCTCATTTTAAGCTGAAACGAGCATGTAAATCCATCTCCAATTTGTTTTTCCAAGGGATGAACCAGTGGAATGAAATGGAGCCAGATAATTTTCCTGCATTGTACATGCAATCATTTGGCATGGTTTCTGGGTTAAAGTGGTGAGCAATAGGCAATGCGGCCAGACAATAATAATTTGGGGAGATGGGAAGATAACGGTGACATTCGGAGTTTGGAAAATGGTGCTGGTCTATGAAGGCAACAAGATGACAAAACAATAATTTGGGGAGGGTTAGAGAAAATGGTCAGTGGGGTGGTGAAAATGAGAAGATGACCTGGGATAGTGAGGTAGATGATTTATAAAAGGAGGCAAGTTGAAGATCTGGAAGGCTAGACAATAATGATCTATGGGGATTAAAAATGATGATTTGTGGTGAAGGGGAAAACGATATGGGTGTCAGACAGTGAAGGTACATCAGATTTCTCCATAGGACAGGTTGAGATTGGTCAATAATTTTAGGCTGAGTAAATGAATCTGTATTCTCTGGAGTTTAAGATTGAAACACACAAGATAATTAATGTGCAGGATAGACACTGACACGATATCTTACAGCAAATTCTAGATCATGGGGGACATAGTCTCATGACAAGGAGCCAGTAATTTAGAACTAAGATGAGACTATTTTCAGTCAGAAGGTTGTGAATCTTTGGAATTTTCTACCCAGATGGGATTGTGCATGCTCCATTATTGGATATATTTAAGGCTGAGACAGATTTTATATTTCGAAGGGCATCAAGGAATATGGCAAGCAGGTGACAAATTGGAGTGGAAACAGTTTGACGATTAATATTTGAATGGCAGGGCAAACCCTTACTGCTATGCAACTGTGTCCTGTACATCCAGCTTATGAGAAATGATGGGGGCAGGGAGAGGGAGAGGGGGAGCCAGAATTTGCTAGGGAATATGCTGGCTGAGAATTGGAGTTGGGGTCTTTGAGATATCAACCAAGCAGCTGGAAGGCCTCAAGACACTAATTGGGAACTTGGGAGACGGGGTGGGGCTACAAGATGCCAACTGAATGTGTTTTACAGCAAAGGAGGCCCTTCGGCTAATCATGTCAGTACTGGTCATCAAGCACCTGACTACTCAGTCTCAGAGCCTGAAAAGCTGCGAGACGCCAACTGAAAATTGGGGAGCACAGGAATCGCTAATGGGCATTGGGTGAGATACAGTGGAGAACCGGAGGTGGGGCTGGGAGAGGGAATCGAGAAAGATGGGAGATGACTGAGTCGGGGGGTGGTGGCTTTGCATTGGGTTAAAAGGAACTGAGTTCCAAAACAGACAAATTGGATCGAAGCGGTAACACCGCTTCTCGATGCACAGATGCTGCCAGACCTGCTGAGCTCTTTCCAGCACCTTCTGCCTCCGTAGGTCAGAAAGCGATGTCAATCTTCCTCCTCCTCTTCTTGGGCACCGTCTGCGGCGGCAGCGGCGACCTCTCGGCTTAGCTCGGCCCTCCTGTCCCTACGCCTCTCCTGTATCGCCCTCATCTCCTCGGCGTACCGGAGGAAGTTGTCGCCGAAGCGGGCCCAGGCTTTGTACGGCACGGTGATGGAGTGGCGGTAAGAGGGTTTCACCTCGCTCAGCCGCAGGAACACCCCGTACCGGTTGGAGCCCGGGTCAAAAAAGAACCGCTTGTTATCGACCGGCACCGAGATCCCCTCGGGCAGTTCGAGCGACCCCGGAATCCCAGCCTCGTCTAGCAGGCCTCCCCCTCCAACTGCTGCCGCCGCCGCCGTTGGGGCGACTCCATAATCCTCGATCAGCCGAGCCAGGGCGTCCCGGAACTCAATGAGGCCCTGGGCCGGGAGGGCGATGGTCTGGCCTTGGGCCGAGTAGCCCCAGCTGGGGGATCCTCGGCTCACGGTCTGACGGATGCGCAGGAAGCGGCCGCGCTGATTCTCCTTCAGGTCCAGGTAGTACTTGCGGTTCTCCCGCACCAGGGACTCGCTCTTCAGCACCCGCTGCGGCTGGGCCTGGGCCTCGGGCTGGGCCAGCGCCGCCTGCTGTTGTACCCCCGCAGCCGCCACCTCCTCGTCTTCCTCCTGCTGTTGCCGCCGCCGCCGCCTCAAGCCACCTCCTCCTCCTGCTCCGCCGCCGGTCAGCCCGAGCTGGGCGTAGTGCTCGATGAAGTCTCCCAGGTAGTCGCGCATCTCGGCCGCTACCGGCATGGAGACGGTCAGACGGCTCTTGCGGCCTGCCGAGCCCACCACCTCGGCGATCTTCAGGAAGCGTCCCTTGGCGTTCTGCTTCACGTCCAGATAGAAGCGCTTGTTCTGGATGTCCACCCGCTTGGAGGCCAGCTCCTGGGTCTCGAGTAGAGACGGTGGGGGGCCGACGGCCAGGCTCGGATCCCTCCCCTTGGCCGGTTGGGGCGCCTCAACATCCCCTTGTTCCTCCTCCTCCGCCGCCGCCGCAACTACTACCACTTCTTCGGGAGGTACAGTGACGGCGGGGAGCGCCGGTAACAGCTGAATTTCGGCGTCCGTTCCTTCTGTGGCCCGGTCCCGCTCGCTGGTCGTCGCCATGAGAGACGACCCCCTCCCACCCGCCTGAAGCCAACCACCTTCCAACAGCAACGGTCGCGAGACCCGAGTGCGCAGACTCGTGCAGCTGCGCGCGGTGGTTGGGCGAGGTGACAGCAAGGACACGCCCACATCACCATGACGACCAACCGCGCCGCTGCCGCCACCGGCGGCGTCTGATGGAGGCGGGATTTAGAGTGGGAGGGCAGGCCCTCGTGGAATGGAGGAGGCGGAGACACGGGCAAAGGCGGGGCATGTGAGGGGGCGGGGACGGTGGGGGGAAGGGCATAAAGAATAATGGGTGGGGCCATTGGGACAAAATGGGGCCGTCCCCTGTGGTGGGAGGGGATTTGAGAGGAGACTGGAGCAGGAGTCAGAGGATAAGGGGCGGTGACTGAGGTAAATGGGTGGGGCTTGTAGGTGCAGGGGGCGGGGCCTCACGGGGCAGTTGTTGTGGGGGTAAAGTAAAATGTAGACTCGATTAATCGGCCGCCGAGTGCTCGACCCAAGTACCGGTTTGACATTTAGCAGCAAGAACAAACGCTCTGCTTTTATTCTTTTCCACGTTACTGCAGACGGTCGCAAGGCGGATGGTGCCGGCGATACTTCTCGCAATATTTGTTGCCATCCTTCCTCGCTGGAATGGCGAGGGAGGACGAATCCTCACCAATCGAGTGGTGGGTGTTCGATTCGGGTTCCGATCACGTGGAGCGCGGGAAGATGGTGGATGAGGGAGCGATGGCGATCTGTGGTGGGAGCTTCTGAGGGACGGAGTAAACTCTCCTCAGGGTGTAGGGTAGCTCCCGCTCCTCTTTGACCCTGGTAATTGTGTGGTGTCGTTTTAGTGTGTGGAATGGATTCTGTGTTTGCTTCTAGTTTGCTGGCCTCAGCCGGCCCAGGGTTAAATTCACTTTCTGTTTGACTCCTTCTGCAGGGCAACGCCTGTATTGATTTAAACTGCACGTTTGACCTTTGTCGCAAGGGAGGGTAAAAATCTTGTGACAACTGCGCAGCGCATTGGTGAGACTGCACCTCGAAGACTTGTGTACGTTTCGATTTGGGAGAGGTGTAGTTACGTTATAAGCACCTCAGGGAGTTTTCATTCCGCTGATTTCTAAGATGAAGTGGGAGCGATGTAGCTTTTGCAGCATGGATAAAGGCACTTCGGCCTATTGTGTATTGTATCAAGTATCTATCTATGCTGAGATAGCAAGAACTGCCGATGCTGGAGTCGGAGATAACACAGTGTGAGCTGGAGGAAGACAGCAAGACAGGCAGCATCAGAGGAGCAAGAAAGCTGACGTTTCGGGTCGGGACCTTTCTTCAGAAATGGATCCCAACCCGAACATCAACTTTCCTGCTCCTCTGATGCTGCTTGGCCTGTGTTCCTCCAGCTCCACAGTGCTGTCTCTATCTAATTCTGATGCAATTTTCCAACTCGTGGCCTGTAACTTTTTATGCTGTGGCATATCAGTGCTCATCTAGCCTTTTAAGGAAGGGACACAGCTTAAAAAATAAGGGGTGTCCCATTTAACAGATGAAGAGTTTCTTTTCCTAGTGGGTCGTCATTCTCCACAACAGAGTAGCAGAGGTAGAACCATTACTTGCATCCAAGGTTATCATTTCAGGTTGAGTGACCTTTCCTTAGAACTAACGTTCTGGTTGCAAGAAGGGTCACTTGACTTGAAATGTTAACTCTGATTTTTATTTTGCAGAATTTCTCTCCGCAGATGCTGCCAGACCTGCTGAACTTTTCCAGCAGTTTCTATTTTTGTCTCTTGTTTACAGCATCTGCAGTTCTTTCGGTTTTTACTTATATTCAAGCTTGAGTTGGAAATTTTATTGGTTGACAAGGGAATTAAGGCACTGGCAAGAAAGTACTGTGAAGGCTGTGATCAACCCTGATCCAATTAGATGATAGAACAAGGCGGATGGGCTGAATGAGCTACTCCTGCTCCTGTTTCTTTTGTGACTAAAATCCCCAAGTCACCATACACTGACAATAAGTTCGGTTGTAGTCTTGTCACGCAATCATGGAATCGAATTCTACACATAATCCAGTACTGATGGAACACCAAACTATTAAAAATGCTGCTGTTCTGAAGAGATGTTTATTTTAGGCCTTGCATATCCTTTCATGTGAATGTGGTCCAATTAAATTTTATTGCCCCACTAAAGTCACTAATCCCAATTAGTTTACAATTATATCCCTGTTACGTGCAGAACTTTGCTGTATGCAAATTGGATGCTATTTCCTATTTTGTCACCTTGCTTTGAACATAATGCTCTGGCTGTAAAGCATCTTAGGATGTCCAGAAGGCGTGAAAGGCAATATAATAAGTGCAAATTTTTCTTTCTTGCTGGCTCTAGCAGGCAGTGGTAAAATTGGTCACTGCAAAACTGTTGGCCAAGTCTCCTGGACATAACAACAACTTTTGTGTACCAGGAATACTATGATCAGCAAATCTGTTGTCTTTCAGATCGATGCTAACACTCATCTCTCATCAGTGGGTTCTAATTTCACTTCTGAGTCTTCATTCAGCAGATTAATCGGGCTGTCATTTCATTGCAATGCAAAACTGTGAGTGTGCTGCACTCTCAGGAGTGCCATTTTTCAGACATGTGTTATGCTGGTTTCCTGTCTTTTATCCTCTGGTGAAAGTTAATAACTCTATAGCACTACTGTTGGCCAGGCCATAAGGATAAATTCCCCTTCTCTTTAAATTGTGCCTTGAAATCTTTGACGTTGAACTGTTGAGGTTTCGTTACTGTTTCATCTGAAAATGCCACCTTTAAGAGTGGAGAGCTAAAATGTCAGCCTTGATTTATGCTTGTTACTATCTGGAGTGGGACTCGCTATCATCTAGCAAAGACTTTAATTGCCACTTTCTTAATTATATAAATATGCAGTGCAGCATTTTTTTGAAGTTTGAGCCAGTTCTTAACATATACGATTTTTAGGAACTTGCAAAATAGCAATCAGGGCAATAGGTATTTACAGCACTTCCTGACAAGTGATTACATATAAATCCCCTGAAACTGAAGGTTTTGTAGGGGGGAAAGAAAAGTAATTTTATTGAAACTTAGTTCAGAATTAATGTTTCTCCATCAACCCTTTTCCCGAAAACCCATGCCACATCCTACTTTTTGTTCACTGTATATGTGACTTGGAAGGAATGACTATAATCACTGTGTAGAATGTAGTGCAGCTGATCAATTAAATATAGGGGAATGAAAAGTTATTGACTGAATAAAGAGGCATTTTAATTTATGAAATGCATTGAAGCCAAAGGCACAGTCAAGCCCAACTTCTGGAGCTGATTTCATGCAACAGAAATTCTTAGTTGCCACAAAACCGCCACTTATTTTGATTAGTACAAGATATATACTGTGTAATGATTTATGGATCCCCAGGGAGATGGTGGAAGTATTAGCATAATTTTTTTAAATGCAAATTTGGTTTCTTTCACAAATTAGCACATTGGTATACAGTGCAGTGTATTTGAGTAATTGGAGATGTGACATGCGGTGGATATAGTATATTTGGGACGAAAAGGGAACTTTAGACTTATGGCTGTTGAAGCTGACCATGACACTGTTTTCCTTGTCTCATGTCTGGGACTGTTCTGGGCTTATCGATAGAAATTATTTTCCTAGATTGCATAACAGCATCCCTATCGTTTTATAATGTGGTTACCAGGATCGTAGAAAGCAAGCTGGATGGACTGCGTTATTTTTTTTCTTGTCAAGCAATTGCTGTGTTCCTATTGTTTAGTAAATGCATGTGCATTACTAGGTTTCTCCCTACCCATGCTCATATTCTCAACCAACATGCTGTGGAGATTCATGTTCTGTATTTGGCATTTCTGTAGCTTTCTAAATGTCATATCAGTGGTTTCTCAGCCTTTTATGTTACTGCACTGACGGGCTGGCAGTAGATCCTGGTTAAGATGTTACCCTAAGTGAGTCAGAAGAATTATGGTGAATATTTTGCTGGCAATGGAGAAGAATAAGATTAGGGAGTTCCTTTCTGCTTGTATGGGTGAACATGGATCTCTGCACTGCATTTGTGGACCTGAGCAAGGCCTGCTCATGTTAGTCGTTCGGTCCTGTGGTACGTAATGGAAAAATTTGGCTGTCCACTGAAATTCATCACTGTGGTGTAAAAAATAACGTGTTTTTTAAAAAGTTTTTGTGTATTTATGATATTGGATTAAAAGACCTGTTTTAAAAATGAAGGATTGCTGAGGGATTGCAGCACTTTTCGAAAGCAAATAATATGATGTTCATTGTTAATGCTTTTTATGCACCTTGTCAAGCAGTAGTTAATGTGTAACAAAAACAGAACTGGATGGACACACTCAGCATGTTTGGCAACATCTTGCATCCAGTGACCCTTCTTCAGAATTGTCCTGAAGAAGGGTCACTGGACTTGAAACGTTAACTCTGCTTTCTCTCCACATTCGCTGCCAGATCGGCTGAGTTTCTCAAGCAATTTCTATATTTGTTTCAGATTTCCAGCATCAGCAGTTCTTTGTTCTATTTTAGTAGTTGACGTGTAGTTTTCAGATGAGCTGGAGCTGAGGGTTTACAAATGGAGAATTACTAAGCAACAAGCAGCTGGTTTGTCTAGACTCGTGACTCGTCGATGACTGAGGCCTTCTGCCTGTTAACGACTGTGATTGGCTCCCTGGTAGCTGAACAACTTGGGACTGTGAACAATGTAATGAGAACCCATCAGACCACTACCAACTCAAGCTGTCTCTTCTTTACAGTAAAAAGAAGCACTTGAAACAGGAAGAAAAATGTTTCATTTTTCCATCAGCAGTTATTGTAAGCTGCGACTTTTAATTAATAAGTCAGAGGCTTCTCGAGGTGTAAACCAGTCATCTTCTTCCTCCTGCAAACCAGTGAAAACACCTGCACAATCAAGACCAAGAAATAGTGTTCTGATCAGCACAAGAATCATCACAAGAACAACCGCTGACAACACGCTTGGACTTATTTTCTAATGCATGCAATAACTTTTGG